GGAAAGAATTTTAGCATTTTTTAATAACATTTGGGTGTTTGGGGGAAAATATTTGGGGGTTTTGAGGGGGAATTTGGGGTCCAGGAGGAAATTTTGGGAAGAGGGGATTTGGTTGTTTAGGGGCACCCCTCATATTTTTGGGGAGGAATATGGGAGTCTTGGGGGGGGCGGAATTTTGGCCATTTGGGGTGTAATTTGAGGGTCTTGGGAGGATTTGGGATTTTGTGAGTATTCGATGGTTTTGAGGGGAAAATTTGGGGGGTGGGGAGAATTTTGGGGGTTTTTAGGGTTTTGGGGGGGGAAATTTGGAGTTTTGGGGGGGGATTTTGAGTCTTGGGAGGATTTGAGACTTCTGGGGGAGTATGAGGGTTTGAGGGTTTTGGGGGAGATTTGGAAGGAATTTTTGGATTTTTGGGGAGGAATTTGGTGGTTTTGGGGGGAAATTCAGGGGTCATGGGGGGTTCTGATTTTGGGAAGGCGATTTGGAGATGATTTTTTGGGTTTGGTGGAAATTTCCATTGATAGGGAGGGGTCCTGATCCCAGTGAGGAGGGGCATTATGGGGAGGCAACCTGAATTTGGAGAGGGGTCTCAGCAAGGATTCTTGATTTTGGGGCCGGATTTGGGGTGGATTTCAGGGGATTTTCCAACGATGAGGAGACATCTCAGGGGTGGGATTTGGGGAGGGGTCTCACTGAGACACCATCATGAGATGGAAGTGGGGGGGGATGTTGGGAGTGGAATTTGGGGAGGATCGGGGGGAGATTTTCCAGCCATGGGGAGGGGTCCCAATCCCGGGGCAGTTCCTGAATTTAGGGAGTGGTCTGGAATTTGGGGGGGAATCTCATCGGGGCAGCAGGCGGAGCTGGAAGGGGGGCGGGATGTTGGCGAAGCCGCTCACCAGGGGAGCCGTGGGCAGCTCCTCGGGGGGTGCCGGGGGTTGCAGCCGCAGGCGCTGCAGCAGCGAGGTCAGGAACAGGAACAGCTCTGCCCGCGCCAGCGCCTCCCCCAGGCACAGCCGCTTCCCTGTGGGGAGGGGGCGTCACCGCCGTGTCACCCCAAAGGGTCAGGGGTCCCAAAAGGGCTGCGGGTCTCAAGAGGGGCTGGGGGTCCCAAAGGGGGCTGGGGGTCCCAAAGGGGTCTGGGGGTCCCAAAAGGGCTGAGGGTCTCTAAAGGATCTGGGGGTCCCAAAAGGGGCTGGGGGTTTCAGGGATTTGGGATCACAAAAGGACCTGGGGGTTTCTAAGGGGTCTGGGGACTTTGGGGGCTATGGGATCCCAAAAGGGTCTGGGGGACCCCAAAAAGGGTCTGGGGATTTCAAGGTCTGGGGGGCTCTGTAAAGGGTCTGGGAGCTTTGGGATTGAGGTCCCAAAAGGGTCTGGGGGTTTCAGGGGTGGGGATCCCAAATGGGTCTGGGGTTCCCACCCTGAGGATTTATGGGATTTAGGGGATCCCAAAAGGATGTAGGGCCCCTCCCCAAAGGATTTATGGGATTTTTGGGATTCCAGAATTTAGGACCCCACCCCAAAGGAATTTTGGGATTTTGGGGATTTCAGAAGGATTTAGGGCCCCAAGGATTAATGGGATTTTGGGGGGTTTTTGGGGTGCCCACCAGCTGAGAAGGGCACAAAGGCCTCGTTGCGCTGGAACCGACCCTGCTCGTCCAGGAAGTTCCCAGGGTCGAAGTTTTGGGGGTTTTTGAAGGATTCAGGGTCGTTTAGGACCGAGCTCAGCAGGGGGTAAACGTCTGTGCCCTGTGGGGTCAGATGTGGGGTCAGAAGAGTCATTTGAGGTCAGGTGTGGGGTGACAGCAGTCATTTGGGGTCATTGGGGTGACTTGGGATTACTAGGGTCAGTTGGGGTAGTTGGGATCAGTTGGGGTCAGTTGTGGGGTCAGAGAGGTCCTTGGGGTCATTCCAGGTGTTTTTAGGGGGATTTCAGGGGATTTCTGGATTTTACCTCACCTTTGGGATCAGGAATCCCTGCAATGGAAGTTTTGGGGGAATTCCAGGGGGTATTAGGGATTTCCTCTCACCTTTGGGATCTTAGGGGAACTACAGGAGGATTTTTGGAGATTTTACAGAGGTTTTCAGGAGGATTTTTAGGGGAATTTCAGGAGATTGTAGGATTTTTTAGGGGAATTTCAGTGATTTTAGTGGGTTTTTTAGGCGAATTTCAGAGGGGCTTTAGGTTTTTTTAATGGTAATTTTAGGGACATTTCAAGAGATTTTATGGGGTTTTTTAGGGGAATTTCAGGAGATTTTACAGGGTTTTACAGGGAAGTTTCAGGAGGTTTTAGGGTAATTGCAGAAGGTTTAGGGGAATTTCAGGAGGATTTTCATTTGGTTCTTTTAGTGGGATTTTAGGAGATTTTAAGGGGATTTCAGGAGAATTTTTTAGGGGAATTTCAAGGAATTTCAGGAGGATTTTTGGTATATTTTAGAGGGATTTTAGAGGGATTTTTAAGGAAGATGTCAAGTGGAATTTCAGGAGGAATTTAGGGGGATTCCAAGGAGATTTTGGGATTTCAGAGGCATTTTAGGGGGACTTTATAGGAGAATTTCAGGGGCATTTCAGAGAGGTTTTCAGGAGGTTTTCTTAGGGGGATTTCAGGGGATTTTAGGGGGATTTTAGGGATATTTCAGAGGGACTTCAGGGAGAGTTCAGAGAGGTTTTAGGGGCATTTTTTAAAAGAATTTCAGGATGGTTTTAGGGTGGTTTTAGATGAAATATTGGGGGATTTTGGGGTTTTTCCCTCGCCTTGGGGATGCAGAAGCCCCGGAATTCCGTGTCCCGCGTCACCCGGTGCGGGACATTCATGGGGATGAGGTCGCTGCAGCGCTGGATCTCGTGGATCGTGGCATCAGTGAATGGCATCAGCGAGCGGTCAGCGAGGGCTGGAGCCCGGCCGGAGCCCACCACCTGTGAAATCTCCTCGAAAATCTTCTCTGGGGGCCGGAAAATCAGGATTTGGAATGGGGAATCTGGGAATTTGGGATTGGAGGAGTGGAAGTTTGGGGATTTGGGATTTTGGGATTTGGGATTGGGGAATTTGGGAATTTGGGATTTGGCGACTAGGAATTTGGGAATTTGGGAATTTTGGAATTTGGGATTTGGGAATTGAGATTGGCAATTGGGAATTTTGGACGTAGGATTGGGAATTTGGAGATTTCAGAATTTGGGATTCAGAATTTGGGTTTTAGGAATTTGGGATGGGAATTGGGTTTGACGTCCCACCTTCCACCTGGGGGTGCCTCATGAGGAAGAGGAGGCCAAAGCGCAGTGTGGAGCTCACGGTCTCAGTGCCGGCAAAGAAAAGGTTCAGGGTAGTCAATTCCAGGTTTTCCATTGTGAATTCTGACTTGGGGTTGTCCTTTTCCTGCAAAAACCCAGGCATTCCACTCTAAAATCTGGGAACCACCCCAGGATCCCCCAAAGATCCAACCAAAACCACCCCAAACACCCTCAAACTCCTGCAAGACCCCTGAAAATCCCCCCAGGACCCCTAAACCCCTCAAGAACCCCTCAGAATCCTCCCAAATCCCCCCCAATCCCTCCAGGACCCATCCCCAAATCCCCCAAGACCCTCCAGGACCCCCCCCAACCTGCCCAGATCCCATGTAAACCTCCCAGGACCTCTCATCAACCCCCCCTAAGACCCCAAGACCCCCCAAATCCCTCAACAGCCCTCCTAAACCTCTCCAGAACCCTCCCAAAGCCCCCAAAGTGCTTAAAACCCCCTCCAAGACCCCCAAGACTCCCCCAAACACTCCCAGCCCTGCCCAGAACCTGCCCCAAAAACCCCCCAGAAGCCTTCCCAAGCCCCCGGGACCCCACAGAACTTCCCCAGGCCCTACCAAAAACCCCCCAGGAGTCCCCCAAACCCCCACCTTGTTCATCTGGATGAGGAAGGCATCGATGAAGTCACGGGGGCTGTGGGGGTCGAGGGTCCGGGCGTTGTCCTGCACACGCTGGGCAATGAAACTCCTCATTGTCCCCAGCAGCTGTGGGATGCGCCGGTGCGGGCCCGGCACGAACTTCAGCAATGGCTCGGCCATGTTGTACAGCTTCAGGGAGCCCAAAAATTTAAAAAAAATATTCCTAAAATTATCCCCAAAACAACCTGAAAAATACCCCAAAAACATCCAGAAAAATCACCCCAAGAATCATCCCAAAGTACCCCTAAATCAGCCCAAAATCATCCAGAGAATCCACAAATCACCAACCCCTAAAATCACTGCAAATACCCCAAAAAAATTCCCCCAAAACACAAAATCATCCCTAAAAATCCAGAAAAATCACCCAAAAAACCACCCCCCAAACCATCCCAAAAACTACACCAAAAACATCCCAAAACCACACCAAAAAAATCATCAAAAAAATACCAAAATCACCCCAAAATCACTGCAAACACCACCCCCAAACTAGCTTAGAAACTCCTCAAAATCACCCCAAAAAGCACCCCAAAACCACCCCAGAAACAGCAAAAAATCATCCCAAACACCACCCTAAAAACACCCCAAAGCCTGCCCAAAACCACCACCAAATCATCCCAAAACCACCCAAAATGCCCCCAGAGCTCCTCATTCTCTCAGTGTGGCCCCAGCACCAACCAAAGGAAGGGTTTGGCCATGTTGTACAGGTGGGGAGCCAAAAATTGCCAAAATCAGCCCAAAAATACCCCCAAAACCCTGCAAAAACTGCCTCAAAATTCTCATGAAAAGCATGCCAAGAATCACCCCCAAAACACCTCAAAATTGTCCCAAAACCACAGAAAAAAACACACTAAAACACCTCAAAATTATACCAATAATACCTCAAAACCCACCCCAAATACAAAAAACATCCCAAAAAACAGTATTGAAAACACCCTAAAATCACCCCAAAATCATCCCCAAAAACACCCTTAAAAAAGCTAAAACCACACCAAAAACCACATCAAAAACATCCAAAATCCTCCTCAAAACCATCCCAGAAATCACTCCAAAACACCCCAAAAACTCCACAAGTCATTTAAAAAAATCAAAAACACCACCTCAAAACCATCCCCAAATCATCCCTAGAACACCTCAAAAACTACACCTAAAACCACCCCAAAACCACCCCAAATCACCTTAATCTCCTCATCATTGCCAGCAGTAGCAGGATGCACCAGTGTGGGCCCAGCATGAACCATAGCAATGGCTCGGCCATGGCCTACAGCTTTCAGGACACCAAAAATCCCAAAATTATCCCAAAACCACCACAAAAATTGTCCCAAAATTATCACAAAAATTGCCGCAAAGTTATCACAAAAACCAGCTTAAAACTCACACCAAAACACCCCAAAAACGAACCTATACCCCACACCAAAGCCCCCAAAACTATTCCAGAAACACCTCAGTCCTCCCAAAAAATCCAGAAAAATCACTCCAAAAATCCAGAAAATTCCTCTCAAAACCACCCAAAAAACCAAAACCACACTAAAAATGGCACCAAAAGCACCCCAAAATCATCCTAAAAATACTGCAAAAACAACTTCTCAAACACACCTAAACCAGCCCCAAAAGCACCCCAAAACCAGCCCAAAACAACTCTCCAAAAATGTCCACAAATCATTCCAAAAATCCAGAAAAATCACCCACAAACCACCCGAAAAACACCTCTTAAAACAGCCCAAAAATGACCCCAAAAGCAGCCCAAAACCACCTCAAAAACAACATAAAAAAAAACACCCTCAAAATACCTCCAAACCTGAAATCACCCCAAAATGCCCTGAGCTCCTCATCCTCCCCAGCAGGTGCGGACGAACTGCAGAAGAAGTGTCACAGGACAATCTTTGAGGACACCAAAAATCCCAAAATTGACTCCAAAATGACAGAATTGCCCCAAAAACATTACGGAAAACACACCAAAAATCTCCCCAAAACCACCACCAAAACACCTCAAAATCATCCCAAAACCAGCCAGAAAATCACCCTAAAAATCACCCCTAAATGCCCAAAAAACACAACAAAAATAACACCAAAACCATCCTAAATTCATCCCAAAAACAAAATTAACCCAAAAAACACCGCAAAGCAGCACAAAAAAAACCCCAAAAATACCTCAAAATCATCCTAAAACACCTTAAAACCAACCCTAAAATCACCCAAAACCATTCTAAAACCATCCCAAAAAACTCCCCAAAACCTGACCTAAAACAGCCCCAAAACACCCAAAAATCACCCCCCAAAAAAAACAAAAACTGCCCTAAAATCACACCTGAAACACCAACAAAACACCCCCAAAACTCTCAAGAAATTACCCAGAAACCATCCCCAAAACTCCCCAAAACAAACCAAAAAAATCCAGAAAAATCATCACAAAAACTTCCCCCAAAAAACACTCAAAAAAACCCCAAAATCTTGCCCCTAAATCCCAAAAAATCCTAAATCCTCAAAACATTCCAAGAATTCCAGATTTTGGGAACTGAAGTCATTCCCAAAAACTCTCCTAAACCCCCCAAAATTCTCAAAAATTCCCCAAAATTCTCTACTTTCACCCCAAAACTCCTAAAAATTCTTCATCATTTCCTGCAACTCTGAAAATTCTGGATTTTGGGAATTGAAACTGTTCCCAATACCCCAAAAATTTCTCCAAGTCACTCCTAACCCCATCCCTCCCAAATCCCCCAAATTCCCAAAATTAAAAAAAAAATTCCCAAAAAGTTCCCCAAAATCATGCACCTGCACCCAGGCTGCACTCATCTCCCTAAAACTCTTGTCCATGATGTGCAGCAGCTCCAGGAATTTATGAATCACATCCCAAAAAACCCCAAATCCCTCAAAATTGCCCAAAAAAAAACGTTCCCCAGAAATTCAAAAATAGTTCAAAAATATTCCCAAAAATCCCCCAAATTTCCCTGCTTTCACCAAAGAACTCCTTTTTAGGACTTTTTAGAACTCCTTTCTCCAGAGTTTCTGTCACTTCCAAAAATTCTGGATTTTGGGAATCTGAGTGATTGGACACCACAAAATCCCTCAAAATCCCCCCAAAAAATCCCCCCAAAAATTCCCAAAACATTCCCCCAAATCTGCTCAGTATTCCTGAAATCCCACACCTGTGCCCAGGCTGTGCTCATCTCCCGAAAACTCTCGTTCATGAGACGCAGCAGCTCCAGGAATTCAGGATCCTGGTACTGGAAGCGATTCCCGAAAACAATGGAGCAGATGATATTGGACACGGCGCAGCTCAGCAGGAACGTGGGGTCGAAGGGTTTTCCTGGGAAATTTGGAGGAAATTTTGGCATTTTGGGGACTTTTCTGGGATTTTTCCAAGAAAACATCTTTTTGGGATAATTTTGGAGTAGTTTTGGGATGGATTTGGGGTAATTCTTTGGGATAAAGCAGATGATGTTGAACACGTCGTAGCTTAGAAGGAACACGGGATTGAAGGTTTTCCTGGGAAAATTGGGAAAAATTCCAGCGTTTTTGGGGTTTTATGGTCCCAAAATACTGCCAAATTATCCCAAAATTCATTCCAAAAATCCACACTGGAACCACCCCAAAATGATCCCCAAAATCATCTGGAACCATCCCAAATTTACCCTAAAATCACCCCAAAGCTTCTCCAAAAATGTCCCAAAATCAACCCCAGAACTCTCCAAAATTATCCCAAAAAATAATCCTAAAAACCCAAAACCATCTAAAAGCCACCCAGAAACCACCTAAAACCACCCCAAATTGATCCCAAAATTTATCACAAAAAAAATGGACTAGTATCATCCCAAAATCACCCCAAAACTGATCCAAAAATCCCCCAAATGATCCCAAAAAAATCATCCTAAAAACCCCAAACCACCCTAAAATATCCCAAAATTCATTCCAAAAAACCCCAAAACACCCCAAAACAATCCCAAAAAATGATCCCAAAAGCCACATGGAATTACCCCAAAACCAATCCCAAATGCTCCAAAAATCCCCCAAAAATAATCATCCAAAAAAATCAACCCAAAACGACCCCAAAACCTGAAAACCCTGAGGGATTTGGCGAAATATCCAATGGTTTGGGGGTTTTCTAGGACTTTTCTGGGATTTTTCCAATAATATTTTTGGGGATAATTTCATAGTGGTTTTGGGATGATTTTTTGGGGATAATTTTGGGGTACCTCAGGAATAATTTTGGGATAATTTGAGGGGATTTTTGGGGTGGGTTTTGGGTGGTTTTCAGTTTTTTGGGATGATTTTTTGGGGATCACTTTTAGCTATTTTAGAGGTGATTTTGGGGATAATTTTGGGGTGGTTTTGGGGGATTCGGGGAAGATTTTTGGGGTGGTTCCAGTGTGGGTTTTTAGGGATGAGTTTTGGGATAATTTTGGGATATTTTCAGGGTGGTTTTGAGGTGGTTTTGGGGTCATTTGGGGGGGATTTTGGGGAATATTTAAGGTATTTTGGGGATAGTTTGGGGGGGTCTAGGGTTATTTTTTGGGTGATTTAGAGCTATTTTTTGGGATTATATTTTGGGATCATTTGGGGGTATTTTGGGCTGATTTTGGTGCAGTTTTTGGGCTGATTTGGTGCAATTTTGAAGGATTTTGAGCAGATTCCAATGTGGTTTTTTGGGATGATTTTGGGCTGATTCTGGAGTGGATTTGTAATAATTTCTTGGGATCATTTTGGCATAATTTTGGGGTGGTTCTGACATGGTTTTTTGGAATGAATTTTGCAATAATTTGTGGGGGTGGGATTTCTGGAGTTTGGGGCAATTTGGGGCTGATTTCAGTGTGTTTTTGGGGATAATTTAGAATAATTTTGGACTATTTTGGCCTGATTCTGGTGTGGCTTTTTCTGGCTGATTTTTTGGGATAATTTCCATGATTTTTCCCACCTCCTGAAACCCTCCGAAGTCCCCCAAAATTTGATACCTTGGGTTTTCTGGAACTCGTGGAGCAGCTCCTGGGCCTCCTCCTGGATCCGGCTCTCGATACTCTGGCGGCCCATCCCAAAATCCCGGAGCACCATCAGGGAGAAGCGCCGGAGCTGCCGCCAACGCTCCCCATCCGCAAAAACCACACCTGGTATGGGGAAAAATCTATGGGAATTGGGAAAAATCCATTAGGAAGAAAGTGGGGTTAAAAACAATGGGAAATGGGAAAAAAATGGGGAGAAATCCATGAGAAGAGGGGAAATGGGGAAAAATACATGGGAAGGGGCAGAAATTTGAGTTAAATCCATTGGGAAATGGGGAAAAGTCGATGGGAAAGGGCAGAAATTGGAAATGGGGAAAAAATCCATGGAAAAGAGTGGTAAATCTGTCAGGGAGAAGTGCCAGAGCTGCTGCCAGTGCTCCCCATCCTAGAAAATCACACCTGGAATGGTGAAAAATTCATGTGAATCAGGAAAATGCATCAGGGGAAGAAAAATCTCTGGGAAATGGGGAAGAATTCATAGGAAATGGGGAAAAAAACATTGGGAAAGGGAAGAAAATTGAGGGAATGTGGAAAAGATCCAGGGGAAATG